GAGATTATGGTATATAATACAGGACTTGAAATGCATACAAAAATGTACGTTGAAGTTTAAATGTCTCACATTGACTAGTATAAATAGATTTACAATGAAATGACTTACTCCTTTTTGAAACTGTTTCGTTTTTCAAATTGTATAAAAATGTAGGATTGACTTGCTAACTATACCCATTATAGTTTTTCAATAGTATGTTCCATTTCGTAGCATAACTTAGTGATATAATTGCCTTGTATACATAAGATGTTTGTATCGATATTCGAAGTTAGAAATTTCATTTATGTTTAGAAAACGATACTTTTAACGTGTAATGTACTTGTATTCCCCCCTAAAACATGTAAAAGAATTGAAAAGTAGGGGTATGAACTCACTCGTTAAGTTTGAAGAGAGGGGCTAGAGTTGAGCAGAGTTTCGATCGCGGATAGTTGCGTCGTCGGGCTCTTCGGGAACTTCTGCAACGTAAATCTTTCGTCGGGGCTCGAGTGCGGAAACCGAGGTGAGAAAAGGGTCTCTGGAGCTGGGAGAATGTCTGAGAAATGGTGAAGGTGTGCCAAAACCCGAGCCTTATGCCCTCTATTTATAGGGCTGAAAACCCCCGTACGCGGCGCGTACTGCCGGAGTACGCGGGGCGTACTTCGGTTACGCGGGGCGTAATAAGGCGTCATGGCTTACGACTCCTGGCTAGCTAGGCGTAGTTTGGGCGGGCCGATGGGACTCGACCCTGGGTCTAGTACGCGGGGCGTACTCCCAGATTACGCGGGCGTAATCCCTGCTTCCAACTTCTAAATTCCGTAACTTTCGCGTACGAGCTCCGTTTTTCGCGTTCTTTATATCCACGCGTAGGTGAGATTATGCTCTACAACTTTCATTTAGACTCCGTCGGCTAGTTTTGACTTTATTTTTAATGATATAATTTTAATAGGCCGGGCCTCCTAAAGTTCGTTAAAATTTCATAGGTTCTTTATTCGACGTCGGTTTTCGTTTGTCTTTTTATTGTTTTATTACCACCGAGGAGATCTTCAACTTCCGTTTAGGTGGCGATAGCTAAATAATATCGATCTTTAATCCGAGTTTTTAGCCCTTTACTACTGTTACGAAACTTTGAAAATTCGTAACTTCTTCATACGAGGTCCAAATTGGGCGATCTTTTTATGCACGCTCATCTTTCAACGAGATCTACGACTTTTGTTTAGATACTTTAAGGCTAAAATGTATTTTATCGAGATTTCACTTTTTACGTCAAATTATGTTTTAACGTCGAGTCGTAATTATGCGAGTGGTTATAATTTCTTCAATATAACTCGGTTTTGAGTGTTCTTTATGTCTTTGGAAACCTGGGCATGATATCTAATGTTCGATGCATCCCAACTTAGATACCTGAACACTTTATTTTCGAGGTTAATTTCGTTGTTTTTAGCTTTCGAGTGTTTACAATGCTTTTGGGAAAAACAGGGTTGTCACAGATG